CGGGTTTAGGGTTTAGTTCATTGGATGAATCTGGTTCTGATGTTGAGGTGATTGAGCAGGGTGACTACCCTTTCGCGTTTGCGTATGCGTCATGGTACACTGCCAGTTCGGGGCCTGCATATCAACAGTGAACCCTATAGACCCTTATTCGGTGTGTTGTTTTGAATCCTGGACTATGTTACTGGAAGACACCACGACAATGAGAAAAAAACATGAATTCTGGCGAAGTTGCTGCTGCTATTGATAGTGATAACTCTGTTTTGGTGGTTATTAGTTCCATTTACTCCCAGCAAACTGGAGCCCCTTCGATGCGTAGTGAAGGGCTGGGCATCAGTCTCTGCAAGTTTCTACAATCAGAATTTGTAGACCCATGATCTCATCATTCAAAGACCCAATGTTCCATAACATTCGCCTGCAAACCACCTACCAAATCAACCCTAAAGGAAGAGAAACCGAAAGCCTTAAACTCAAGAATCGCAAACCCTATAATACGCTAACACGCCAGAATCCTGAATCCAAGCCCCACATCCCTCACACCCTCAGGGCCTGAATCCCAGGACGATTCAAGGTTTAGAGCACAAGGCATCACCAGGACTGTATTGTAAGCGTAGGCTGCAGGGTTTACAAGGGTTTCAAGGTTTAGGTTTTAGGATTCCACGATTGGGTTTAGCTTGAGGCTTCATTTTCAGGGGTTTAGACCGCGAGGGCTTGGCTTTTCCTGTTTTAGCTTGAGGGTTTGATGTTCAGGGATGTAAACCGCAAGGGGCTTGGCCTCTCCGTGTTTCCGGACTGTATATGGGGTAGCATTGTTTTTGTAGATGCAAAGTGCAGGTCTTTGGTATTGTGGTCGGAACGACATCTTGAAGGTAACCCAGAAATTCCAGGAAAATCCTTCAACCCCGAAACCAAGTTTTGGGTTCGAGATTTCGGGCGCAGGCCATCATCCCTCGACCCTGAAACCGTGGGATGTTTTGCCAGGCCTGGCCAGAGTTTGCCCACTTTCTGGAGCGGCACAGCGAAGTGTTTCGGACAGGACTGGACGCGACCTCAGATTCTGGTTGAGGGTTGGGGGCTATGGCTAATCTCTAAAACTTGTGAATTACAGTTGTTCGCATTATTCTGAAAATCTAGGTATCCAGATAGTCATCATTAATGTTTGTGTATCTCTACAGAGTAGATATAAGTAGCTAGATGTACAGACACACTTCTTTGTCACAATTAGTAAGAGGTCCTATTACCCACCTGCTTGCTCGTTGTGACCGACCCATACAAGTCGCCAAATAGCCTCATGAAAATATTCAGTGAAGAAATATCGCTGTCGCGAGACTCTCCTGTTGACGGTACGGCGATGCTTCGAGGACTCCCTCGGTCATTTAAGGAGTGCGCTTTATTCTAACAGTCAGCTTGAAGGAGAGCGCTGCCTTGTCAGCAGATCCTAACAGCTATCGCAACCACAACGCGAACCTGCCTCATGCCATCGTATGGCTAGAATTGGGACAAGTTTTTCGAGAAACTACTTGACGTCCAACTAGTCGTATAGAGCTCAGACCACAAGGCCATGCACAATGCGGCCCACGACTTTCACTTACCTTCAAAGGTGTCAGCTCAAGATAACTAAGCCAAGCTCATGTCAGGATTCAAGGGAGCGGTGAGTTGAGAAAGTCCACACGCAATGCCAACCAAGTTTAACACGACTAGCCTCTGTCATACGAGGATTTCCTGTTAAAGGATCTTTTTCGCCCTGAACTTGCACCTAAAAACATGTCCTCAGCTTGGCTCTCTTCGGATGATACCGCAGGGGCATATGAAGGGTTGACCGTTTGTATAACAATGTAGACCATGAAAACCCCTTCTTATCATCGAGGGTGCCGCCATAAGAAACAATGGATATATGGCCATGATCAAAGCATCCATGCTCCGTCTCTGGCAGCCCTCATAGAAACCTCTTTGATCCCCGAGTTCTCAACGGTAGCAACCGGAACAAACACAAAAAACGTTAGTCTTTGTTTTTTTCGGCTCCTGGGAGTTCAGGACCCTGGGATTCTTGTTCAGCTTCCTGCATTATACTGTGGGAGTTTTTGGAAATCGCTTCTGGTCCGCATAAGCCCGGTTTCGTTTCTGACATGGGTTCTGCGGTTCCTACACTGCGATGGGCGATCTTTCCACTTCGACGACGCCCTCGAAGAGAGCTTCGCGGTCGTTTCCCGGTACAGTGCCGACCGCGACTTCCTTTCCGGTGTGTCCCAGAGTCCCAGGGCTTCCATCTTGCCGAAAGCGTCCGAGTACCAGAATGCTATCTCTTTTGGCGGTTTAATGTAATGTCGAACAAGAACATACTTACTATACTAGCTATATCATCGGCACTTGGACCCTTTGGCGTGTACAGGGCCATACATCCTCGGCGCAGTGGTGATTGTGAAAAATGACAGCTTTCGTGTGAAAGCCTATGAAGAGTAAGCTGCCGCGCCTGCGCCCTATAGCAAGAAGCAACACAAGCCTGCAACAATCAAAAGCGCCCTACCAAGTCCCCAAAGCCCAGAAATCCCTAAGCACGCATCCTATCAGTCGCTGCTTTGCCCCAGCTATCTTGTCGAGCACTGGTCGAGCCATACTGTAGTTATTCTGATTGATGTCGAGTGAACGGTGGGATAGGTGGGGTTAATTTCTGGTTTCAGGGTTGAGCTAGTTCGTTTGCATCTTCAGACAGGGCTGTGTACTCTATAGTATAGATAATATTTGTTCCGGCTTTTGAGTGAGCACGTATGGTTCGCTACGGTTAGGGTTACGGCAGCAGAGATTTCCTAGGTCCTACAGTCCCAATAAGCCCATGGCTGCTGTGGCCAGCAGCGTCTCAGCCGGCGCCTGGGGGCAACTGAAACCCGTCATCGTCCGGCCTCAGCGTGCCTTAGCCAAACCGTGGATCCCGGAAACCTATACACTTCTGATATTATCTAAGCGTCCATGTACTTGTGCACGTATGGAAGGATGTGATGTGACGTGACGTGATGTGATCTGACGTGATGTGATGTGATGTGATGTGTGTATAGGCATATATATATATGTATATGTATATGTATATGTATATGTATATGTATACATATATGTATATGTATATGTATATGTATGTGTATATGTATATGTATAGATATAGATATAGATATAGGTATACGTATATGTATATGTATATTTTTATGTATATGTATATTTGTATATATAGATAGATAGTTAGATAGATAGCTAGATAGACAGATAGGTAGGTAGATAGATAGATAGATAGAGACAGAGAGATATCTATATACATTTATTTTGGTCCCCCCCTTATGACAGATCCCATCGGCGATTCTGGCCGTTTGCGTGAGTTCGGGATTGAAGCCCTGCTGTCGTCCGGCTTTAACCACTCGATATCTAGATGTGTGTGTGTGTGTTTGTGTGTATGTATGTATGTATGTATGTATGTATGTACGTATGTATATATGTATATATATATATACACACATACATGTGTATATATATATATATATACACATACATGTGTATATATATATATAAAGATATGTGCTTATATATAGATATATACATATATATATATATACATATGTATATGTATATGTGTGTATATATATATATACACATACATACATACACATATAAATGTGCGAACACACACACGCACACACACACACACACGAACTTCGACCCTAAAATATATCTATATGTAGGGACTGGTACAGGGGCCTCTCCTCGTTGATGGTCATGGTGCTGGTGCTGTCCTGTATACCCTGCAACCTCAAGCCTGCGCGCTCCGAGCTTTGCGCCGTAAGCCCGAAAACCCTAACCAAACCCTTTAGGTCCTAAACCTTAGCAAACCCCATAGACCCCAAACCCTCAACCCCCCTAACCAAACCCTTTAGGCCCTAAACCTTAACAAACCCCATAGACCCTAAACCCTAAGCCCCCTAACCAAACCCTGTAGACTGTAGACTCCCAAAACCTGAAGCCGACATCTCAAAGATTTCGTCCTTGCACAGCAAGGCTGCATTCCTGTCGCTTCCTGGAGCACCGCACAGAGCCGCACGGCCAGCTTTGCCCCTGTCGTTGCCTCCGAGCCTTGCTCCAAAGAGTTTGTTGGTTTTGGGGTTCGCGATGTTAGGGCTGCAGGCTGTTACCCTCCCTAGCGCTATAGACCCTAAACCCAAGGTGTTCAAAAAAACCTAAACCCTAGCCTAGGGTTCAGAGGTAGCGGTTTGCTGTGGGCGTTTTGGGTTCCGAGTTTAGCAGGTTAGGACTTCAGTGCCCTTTCGGGGTTTGCAGCTTTTAGTAGGCTTCGGTTTCAGGGTCTACGGCTTCAAGGGGTGGAGAGTTTCAGTGTCAAAGATTCCGGCTTTAAGCATACCTATGCCTGTACATCCTAAAACCCCAGCTCACGGGGAGTTGTTGATTCTTGTGGAGGTAGTTGTTGGAGCCTGGCCCATCCGTCAGCGAGCTCCGACAAGGCTTCCGGTGAGAGCTTTCGAAGATGAGTTGGGGGCGCCTTGGCCGTCAGGTTTGCAAAGAATTTTGGGGTTTAGGGTCGTAGGTTGACAGCTTATGTAGGATTGTAGGTTTAGTAAGGGTTTGGGGGTTCAGGCTTAAATTTGAACCCCGAAGTCGGGCGGTAGCTTGTGAAGGTCGAGGTTTGTTCTTGAAGGTGCCAAGATTCCTTTCCTTTTGTCCGGAGGCTCGAGAGGCTGGTGGACATCGTGGGAAAACAAGCTTAAGGATGCACTTTCCAATTCGAGACAGGGCGTAAAGGAGGCCGTGTGTAAGGATTTCCTTGGTTCGACACCCTCTTGGGGCAGTGGCATATGACTTGTGGGAGCAATTGCATCAGCAATTGAATCAGGCTTTGCTCTGGTTACCTTCATGATAGGCTTTGCCATGAGCCGTGCTGAGTTGCGCCTTCAGTCACGCCATAGTTGTCTTCGGTTTTGTATACCTGTAGCATGAACACGCAAGCCAAGGTTCAGCCACCTCTTGGATTTTGGGATCCTATGGGGTTCACTGACGACGGTGACCTGCTGTCATATCGTCGCCGCCGATCCGTCGAATTTAAGCACGGGCGCATTGCAATGCTAGCGACCATGGGCTTTATGACTCCCGAGATCATCGGTCATTGGCCAGGACAACCTGTACATGTTTCAGGGTTTTGAAACTCAGAACTTCGTCGCAGAGGTAACCTCTAAACCCCCAAACCCTAAACCCTACACCCCTAAACCGTAAACCCTAGGTACTCTCTAGATCACGCTCAGCTTCTGTGGGGTAGAAAAGTAGTTTCATCCTTATGCAATGGCCCAAAATAAAATATCTCCTCTATACTTCCACCTTCAGGGTTTAGTCCATCCCAATTTCTATGGAGGTTGGCTGAAAGTTCCCTGCTTTTCATGCTAATTTTGGGGATTGGCTCAATCTACATGGGAGTTTCACGAAAACGGGGACCCGCATGTAAATCCGAACTGGTGGGATCCTTGATTGATAGTATAAGTCATCCCCCAAGAAGGAACACCTTATGCGCGCAATACGCCGGTCGAAGACCGTGAGAAATCCTTTATACAGCCACAAGCAAGGTGCCTTACTTATGTTTAGCAAACCGCATATGAATTCGGTCTAGGTGGCAGGTCCGTGTGCTGTGCGCGGCCATCAGCTGAGTGACGCATTAGACCTTAGGGTAATCATACTAACACAAACCGTAAACCCTAAACCCTAAACCCTAAATCCTAAACCCTAAATCTTAAACCCTAAACCAAACCGTGTATTCAGGCCTCAAGCGACCCAAACCAGAATGGTTTGGGGTTAACACAACATGGACTCGAGGATACATCTCGCCGTCTTTGCAGCTGAAATTCGACGACGTCCCAAATGGTCTGCTTGCGCTGTTGGTGGTACCTGCTCTAGGCGCACCCTTTATGGTTCAAAGTTTAGGATTTAGGTTTTAGGCTCTAGGGGCTTCGCGCTTTATGGATAGATTCAGGCATCCGTCTTTTAGGGTTTAAGGATCAAGGCCCTCTACATTCCCTGTGCCATCATTCTCCTCCAGCAAAATACTAGTACTCAGGGTGCCGGTAGGGGCTTAGGGTGTGGGTTTAGGGCTTAGGGTTTAGGGTTTATAAGGGTTTATGGGTTTTGGGTTTAGGGCTAGCCGGCTTGGGTATTGTGATTGTATTTTCTTCGCATGGAAGCAGGTCGACATCACGGGGCCGTGTTTTGCTTCACCTGCCCTCGGCATAGTTATGAGCAAGCTTACCTTCTACCCGACGAAGCGCGCCTACGGGCTCCCAAACCCCAAACCTTGAACCATAGACCCAACAAGCTCACAACTCCAAACCCAAAGCCCTAAACCAGACCGAAGCCCTAAACCCAAAGCCCTAGACTCAACACCCTAAACCTAAAGCCCGAATCCCCATTACAGCCTGAACCTCACGGCCTACCGATGCCAAGCCCCGCGTCCAACTCCCAGGCGAGACAAACCTAAAACTATGGTTGATGATATGAATCCTGCATTCCCCATCATAAAGAATAGACCATATTTCCCATAGTTTAGGGTCTTTGAGGTAATGCAGGATTTATATCATCAAGAGTAACTCAAAGGGTTTAGGGCTTTGGGTTCATTTGTAAGGGTTAGGATTTTTGGGTCTAGGGGTTAGGGATACGGCTAACCTGAACACTATTCCCAAAATCTAAAGGATATGTAAATTTATGTAAACCCAAAACCCTAAACCCAAACCTCTCAACCCTAAACTCAAAATCCTAAAACCTAAACCCAAAACCCTCGACCCCACAGCCCCTATCCGCAACCCTTGGGGAAGAATCTGCGGCCTCCAGGCTGGGCTCAGATTCTGATTTACTTCGGCCTTATCGAGTCCCCTCGGCTGAATGTAGGTTAGGGTGTAGGATTTAGGCTCCTATGGCAGAATGGTATAGGAGGCCTTTGCTTAAGGTTGTAGTACTGTGGGGTTTGGGTTTGGAGTCACTTCGGCTGAATTTGGAATTTGGGTTGGTGGCTCCTTTATCAAAATCTTCGTCGCACGGATTTACGAGTTTAGGGTTTACGCCATGTTTGAAATAGGGCCGGTGGAAGACATGCGTTGACATGGGATTCAGGTTGCAAATGTTTTGAATGAGTCATCAACATGCACCATGACGACGACGACGACGACGACTACGACGACTACTACTGGGAGGTTGACTTGTCTTTGCACTGGTGGCAGGGTTGTTGCCGTGTTTTTCTGTGTTAGCAGTTGCTTGCTTGTGTTTTGTGGACTCTACATGGCTCTACACACTGCACCAAAACTCAACATGCAAAGCATTGTGCAACATCCAGATACAGCGCCGGCTTCGAGGACTACCGTACCGGCACTCCTGGTGACTCTGCTTTGATGAACTAGGGGCTAATTTGGGGGTTGTGTGGGTTACAGTTCCGAAGGGAAAACAACTTCAAGCTTGAACACCAGCCCTGGACTGACCTCCGCCAGCAACATTGTACGACTGTGCGCGGCTGGAAGTCTTCTTACATGTTCAGGTTGCGTTTGTTTTGTTGTCGGGTCCGAACAGGGCACCCCGGTTTGCAAATGCTGCGTGACATGCAAAGGAAGTTTAGGTTCGGGAAGTGGCTTGTAGGTGTATTCTAAGCCAAAGCCCGAGCTAAGCACCAAATCAACCCTAGCCAAAAGCTAGCCCTTACCTGGACCCTAAAGATCCCACCTTTTTGAGGTTTTATGGAAAGAAATCATAATAAGGAGCCTTGAAAAAGAAAGGTTTTGTAGGGTTAAGGTAACACTGGACCCCCACGCCCTTTAGCGTCAACCACCTTTCGGCGTTGTTTCCCTCACAACCCTGGGATCTTGACTAACGCCCGGCCCGACCCTAAACCCCGAATTACCCCTGCATAGCTTCGTTTAGAGATGACTCCGGTGGGTTTCGGAAAAGCTTACATAGATATAGCATATACATATATATATATATGTATATAGATATATAAATGCATGTATATATGATACAATAACAACAATAAATAATAGTAACAATAATAATAACAACAAAAATAATAATAACAATAAAACAATAATAACAATTACAAGGGAACTTTCGTTCCTGCCCCTAGATTGCTTTCCCCGAGAGTTAATACATCGGGCTGGGGTCCCAGGTGGGCAGGGTTTAGGGGTTTAGGGGTTTAGGGTGTAGGATTTAGGGGTTTGGGGGTTTAGGGGTTTAGGGCTTAGGGTTTTAGGGTTTAGGGTAGTTTAGGGAGCTTCAGACTCTTCCCTAAAGAACCTTCCTTTTTAGGATTCCTTGTTATGGTTTCCTTGTATAAGTATAGGTCCATAAGAATCTAGGTTCTTTAGGGTCGAGGGAAGCCTTAAACCCCAAACCATTGTATGTCGAGGTTTACAAGACATGAGTGTCAAGGTTGTGCGTAGATTCTCACGGCAGAAGTTTGCCGAGTCGTTTCGTGAGTGAGTGTTGGAAACGCAGCGAGCAGAGAAACGGAAACGACTCTGAGGAGCATCTCCTACCCTGAAAACGCACTGCAAGCAAGTATGGAGAAAGAAGGTATCGCCATACTCCTAACCGTAAAGCGTAAGCGGAAACACTAATCGCCAACCAGGCCGAAGCCGAAGCCTTAAACCAGCCATCAATCAACCTCCCGTGATCTTGAGCCGCTCAATTGCGAATCGTAAGTTCAGCTTGCTCCCTTAATGGTGAACCCGACGAGACCTCTATATATACATATATAGATAGATAGATAGATAGATAGATAGATATATATATATATATTATGTACACACACACACACCAATCCCCATGTGCTCAGAGCATAAGCAGGTGACTATGGCTGGAAAGTCTTGACCTCGGATGATCCGGAGGAGCGCCGGCGGAAACTGAATGCATCCTGGACTGCAACCCAACTTTCAAACTTTGAGAAATGTCAGAGTTCAGGTTTGAGGGTATCGTGTTTAGGGCTTTACGGGTTTAGGGATTAGGGTTTAGGGCTCATGGACTCATGGACTTGGCTTGTAGGTTTGAGGCTGTGCAGTTAAGCCCTAGATATCCAATGCCCTCAACCCGAGCGACCTAAACTTAGAAACCTTAAGTCCTAAAGCCCATCATTCAGCCTAAACCCCAACCCCACAACTCTGCTACTGTAATATAGCCTTGATTGAACCTGTGAAGGAACTTGAAAGATCCCGCAAACGAATGGTAAGCACAAACATCCCTAAGACTAAGTCCTAAACCTCATTCGGCAAAAAGCCCTCAAATGATCATGCAACTTAGTGCATTTCAGGCAGATTTGGCGAATGGTCGTTTGGCCATGGTCGCCATCATGGCTCTGCTCTTCCAGCTCTCCACCTTAAGAGCTTGAGGGCTTTGTGCTTTAAGGATTTGCTGCTAGGGTTTTCGATGGAGTTCAGTGTTTAGCTTAAGCTGTTTGTGTTTCAGGGTGAAGGGATTTTGGAAGAACCTTTGTTGCTCTAGGTACTTTAGGTCGCGGCTTCAGTTTTAGCTAGGGCCCACGATCTAGGGTTGAAGGTCTTGAGTCTGGCTTTAGGACCTATACAGGGTTAGGGGGTTCCTTGCAAGATCCTGATAAACAAGAGAGGGTTCGTAACAGGCTTCCTTGCGACCACAGTAGGGTAGTTGCTTCCCGGGCTTTGCGTTGTTCTCTTATCCCTAAACCCTAAAGACCCTAAACCCCTAAACCCTAAACCTTAAACCCCCAAACCCTAAACCCTAAACCCCTAAACCCTAAACCGTCTTCTTTTGCCTTGTTGGTGGCTGGGTAGGTTCCCGGAGGTGGTGAGGTTCATGGAGCTGGTTGGAGGGCCAAGCCTCCAGGATGAGACCTGCAGAAGGTTTGGGGTTTATAGGGTTTAGGGTTTAGGGTTTAGGATTTGTAGGGTTTAGGGGTTTAGAGTTATTATGGGCGGGTTTATAGGGTTTTTAGGGTTTAGGGTTTGTAGGGTTTAGGGTTTAGGGGTTTGGGGTTTAGGGTCCAGCTTAAGAGTTGTCTGCATACCTCTACAACACAAACACAAGCCTGAAACAGTGTTTCGGATAGCCTTGCCAAGCACGGCAAGTTTGTGCAGACCATATTACACAACGATGCCGAAGGCTGCACTGGCAAA